AGCCACAAGTGCGCTCTCTTAAATGAAATTCTTCTCAATTCATAGTTCTGAAAATTCAGGATTCAGAGAGAAGAGCTACCAATCTGCTGAAGGAATAGTCTACAGGGTTAAAGGATTTTAATGTAGAACAAACTTCAGTCATGCAAGTCACGAAGAGGCTGAAGCTTCTCTTTGTACAGGGGAGTGGCCATGTTCGGCTCACTATTTCTAATCAAAGCACTCAGAAATGGGTAATGTGAAGAGAGAAATTCTTATTCCTGGCAATGGCAGCATGGCAGGGCTATTTCGGATGTCCACATCAGCTCTGGTTGAATCTTGACATCCCTGCTGATCAAAAGCTAGCCTTACAATAGCTTCTCCGCTAAGCATCACTGAACTCTTTCTTAGAGTTAACCGCTGATCCGCGGCAGTTGAGATTTCTCAGGATGTTTCCAAGTTCATAAACGTGTGGCATGCTGATTCAGCATCGCGTCCCCTCCCACGGGCTCAGAACGCCAGCTGCCATGGCCCGGGACACTGCGGGAGCACTGATGGATGCTTTCCAACTCTGCCACAGGGCCTCACCTTTCTGTTAGCTCCTATCCTAACCCAGAAATAAATAAGCCTCTGGACCAGCACCTGACCTAATGTGGAAAAAACATTGCAGCTCGTTCCCCACGCACAGTGTGGCTTCAATCACAGGCTTAGAGGCTCCGTGAATAGAAGTAGACTACCCATCCTGTGTTTCCTTCCTCTAGCAGGAAGTCTAGCTAGATGACAGCTGCTATGTCCAGGAAATGACCTGCCGATCCAGCTATCTGCTAGGTCATGGTTGTTTCATGAAACCGGATTTGGCGGCTGTTTGGGATAGAGGACTGAGAGCACTATGGACCAGGGTAACATTCCACCACTTGTACTCTTTGCACCAACCATCCTGTCTTTATCCTGACAGCAGTCTGGAACTAACGGTGTGATTTTTTCTTTTAGTTGAGAAGAGAGAGGAGTACGCTCCAGTAACCTAAGCACAAAGAATTTCCCCCATAGACTAGCATAGTGAGTATTAACCAAAATTGGAAGCTAGGTTTGCTGCGCATGTTTTCTCAGAGACATAAAGGAATGTGGCTTAGGAGAGAACTCGGCTGTTCTTTAGCCTCTTCATTTCCAAATAATTAAATATGTTTTACTGGAATGTCTTAACATCTGAATCTTGCCTCCTTGTAATCCATACTCTGCTTTATATTCCAGTCATCTGAATGGATCTTGGGCTTTGATCTTGATAGGTTGGTCTTTTTCTCTACTAATTTTGGCCAGGAATGTCCTTTGACCTCAGCTGATCACCCTCAGCCAAGAGATTGTTCTATCTGTGCTTCTGACACCGCCCATCTTGGATTTAGGGCATGTGTGACCAGCCTAGAGTCCTATCTTAGACCAAGGCCTTCTACTGGTCTCATTTTTAAGTCTCAGATAATTAAAACCTGGTCATGGTTTTGTGAAGTGACAGGAATCATCTGATGCTCCTGTGTCCAGTTTGTGACCCTGGTGTGCCTCAGTTCTCTAGGGAATCAAACTGGGAAAATCAAGTCTTCCACTCTGAAGTCAAAGGCAGTGAGGTGCTAGCTCACGGCGGCCGTCGTAATGTGGAGGCTTAGTCCGGTTCTCCTGCCTGGAGTCTTCACCTCTCCGGAAGCACAGCCCTTCGTAACCACATCTGGTAGCTTCCAAAGGTCCTGTGCAGCATCGTGAGGCTAGAACACTTCAGTACCTTGCTGTGTGCTAGAGACGGAGGCACAAGTCAGCAAGTTTACTCTGTAGATGCCGTAAAAGAGGAGCAGTCAGGAGTAAGGCCTAGAGTTTCACCACTGAGGTTGGATCTCCTCTTCCCAGAGAGAGTGGAGTGAATCTGCTCAGGGCCTACTACTGAGCTACACTTTGGAGAAGAGTTTGAGTATCCATAAATTGTATATTGGCATTGCATCAGGGACAGCAAAGGGCATAGCAGTGACCACACATTTGTCCCTTGTCTATTAGGTTGCCATGTAAATGTTACTATATGGCTGTCAGTCTTGGCCAGTAAATATGCTTTATTTCATTCCACAATCCAATAAAATGTCTCTGCTGGTTACAAAGATGGTCTTCTAAATGAGTGGACTCTTGTAGCCTAGGGTATCTGTAGAGCAAGAACAACCTATAGATATGAATATCAAACTGCCTTTTAAATACCTTGATGTTCAGTTTCAGAGGTAGAATTCGGAGCCATTGATATTCCATTATAGCCAAAAGGCAGCATTGTTTTCATCAAAATAGAAAGTTCCTTTCTACATGGACAATAGGAAGAGAGCTGACCCTTTATCTCCTATACAAAGCTAACTTAGAAAAAGAAGAACTTGCTTCCCTTTTATCCTTCGGTAGTTTATTCCTAGCACCACCAGCTAGACATTTGCTTCATGCTTCATTTTTCAATTTCATCACCATAAAGATGCCACCAGCGGCATATTCATCAGACAAGCCATTCAGTCTGTTATTGTGGTTGGAATGGAAGAGTGATGGCTGGCCCTAGCGGTTACTGACTTGCTTCTCAGCATCTCCTCCTGCGAAGGTGAGATTTCTTAGCTCTGCTGGCTTATGGCTCCAAGGCAACTCTCCCTCTTATTCTCAGATAACAGGCAGAGGGTGATATCATCCACCAATGTGATTAGTGTCTTCATTTCCCTTAGCAGAGAAGTGCTTTAAGTTCTTTGAAGTAAAGATCTGCACTTAGGGGAAAGAGTGTTATGATTATTTGTGGATTAATAGCATACTTCTCCCTCAAGATTACAGGGTGGAGGTAGGAAGGCTTGACTCATTGAGGAAAGCCAGTAAGGGCTGGAGATGCTAAATTGTAATAATTTCCCCAAGGGCTTTCAAAGAAATGGCACCTGCTGCAGGGGAGGTGGATGTGGCCTGAGCTGCCTCCAAACCTTAGACCAGGCCCCTACCCTTTCCCCAGAAGTGAGGGGTTTCGTTCCAGTGTCATTAGGAATACGTCATAGAGAGACTCCCTTTTCAACTTTGAATATGCTGTTTTTCTATTGAAAAAAGGATCCTGTGTCTAAGGGGAACCTTGCAATTGTATACAAACCTACATTTTTGTAATGTAGTTGGCTTGCGCAGTTGACTTACGCCATGCAAGACAAGTAGCTGTTTGTAATGTGCTCTCATGATTTTGCTTTCTCTTTATCTGACTCTTTATAGTCGTCGTCTGATACCGAATAGTCATTTACATTGTCAATCAGGTAATCCGAATTTAAATGACACTTTTCTCCTCTTACATTTACCCTTCACCAAGTTAATTTATTTATTTATAAAGTAGCAAAATGAACTTAGGCTAAAAAATACATACACATTTGAGGAGTAAGACTTCAGTCCACTGAGGATAGCTGTAATTGAGAATTACCTTTATGCCTAATGATACTCAGGACGCCCAAAATAGCTGTTACCAAGGAGGCACTGTCTGGAAGACGTTCTGTGCTGTGCTGCAGAGAAACCAGCAGATACCTGCTTGATTCTCAAGCCTGGAAACAGGGACAAGAGTCGGTGCTTTTCATCAAAATTAGGTAGAAAGATGAGCAAGAAGGGAAGCCAGGCATGACAGAATTCCTTTAAGATAACCACATTCAACATTTTTATATAAAAATGAAGACGTGTGTGTGCGTGTGTGCATGTGTGTGTGTGTGTGTGTGTGTGTGTGTGCGTGCACGTGCATGCACACACGTGCCAGTCCTGGGCTTGCACTCGGCCTGGGCACTGTCCCTGAGCTTCTTTTGGTCAAGGCTAGTGCTCTGCCACTTGAGCCACAGTTCCATTTCTGGCTTTATTATTTTTTCTTGTAATGGGTGGAGTAGTTTAGAGTCTCATGGACTTTCCTGCCTAGGGCTGGCTTCAAACCCCAATCCTCAGATCTTGGCCTCCTGAGTAGCGAGGATTGTAGGCATGAGCCACCAGCACCTGTCAAAAGTGAAGGCAATTTTTTTATGAATTACAGAATTCAGCTTAATGATTGCCCTAAACACAAATGAGTACAAATCAAAACTGGGGGGATTTGTGACAAAGAGAGTCCCTCTCTGGTAAGACTTACTTTCTAGGAAGCAACTTTCCCTAACTTTCTTATTATTTAGCTGTGGTGTATACTGATGAGCAGCAGTTCTAAAGCGCCGTGTGACCAGAAACACCTAGGAGGTCATAGAATTTGAATGTACACTTTCCCCGGGGGATTCTGAGTGACAGGGGAGAAGCCGGGTGCGGGGCTTCTGCACATTCATCTTCTAAACCACTGTGTCTGTGGTGATCGGGATGCTGCACTTTCAAAACCAGGTGTCAGAATCGTAGAGATTGAACAAAGCGCCATTGCTGCCAGGGGTTAGCCAAAGGAGGAACGGGGACCTGAGGTGGAAGAAGCGAAGGATTTTAGTTTGGACAGATAAAATGATACAGGCACTGATCCCACAGACGGTGAATACATTTAATACCCGGTGCCCTTGAGATGATGAGTATAGTAAATGTTACATACGTCACTGTAGATTACCACAATCAAAAAAGGCTTTCTAGTTCAAAAGGTCGCTATTCTTTAATAGATAGGTAGGTAGATAGATAGATAGATAGATAGATAGATAGATAGATTTGCTTTTGCTCTCGATAATAATGAGGATAAGGAAAACAGTTTTATCTCATTTAAAATGTCATAATTTGTGCTCAATTATAGATTCATATTGTACGTATTGATCACGTGTTATATAAATATTGCCTTATAACTTATCATTTCTCTATGATTGGGCAAAAATAAATGCACTAACTAAAAGTATTGGTGGAAGCCATCTTTGACTTTGTCAAGATAAAAGAGCTGTGCTGTCATCCATAGTCTGGGCTCAGGAAAGGCCACCGAGCTCGGCCCGAAGGCCTGGTCCTCAGGGCTCCTTGCGTGCGAGGGGAGGGGGGATTGGGTGTCCTGGCAGTGTGGCTGTGGAGTGAGACTCTGCTTCTCTCAGGACAGGGTGTGGGCCAACGTGGGGAAGAGCCTGAACTGTGTGATCGCCATGGTGGACAAGCTGATCGAGAGAGAGGGCAGCGCGCAGCAGGACGGCGATGGAGAAGTGGAGCCCGAGGGGGCGGACGCCCCTCACCCCCAGGGTAAGAAGCCTCGTTCCCCTCCCCCCACTGACCAAGGGCGCACAGCCACACAGGCATGGCGGAGAGCTGGCTCCAGAGGGGTCAGCGGGGCCTCGGGGGACAAGCGGTGCCGGCTGGCATCGGATTGTGTTTTCAGAACCACTTGAGATGCTCTTTGCTTTTATTCTTTAGGTACATAAACATCTTCCAGAAAGAAAGGGTCTGCCATGATCAGATCGACATGGATACTCTGTCCCAGAATAGTATTAGGAAGAGGAGACAAGCTAGTTCTGGTGGCTCAAGCCTGCGAGCCTCACTGCTCAGGAGGCTGAGACAAGGAGGATCTTGTTTTGAGGCCAACCTGGACAGGAAAGCCTGTGGCACTCCAGCTGCAACAATGTGCTTGACTTAAGCAAGAAAGCTGAACACAAGGTCCCAAGTTCAAGCCAAGCATCAGCACACATGCACACACATTCATGCACACACACATAACAAAACACACACCTGTCCTTAACTCGTAGAAACATTCGGAGATAACAGGAGACAGTATCTTGCATAGAACACAGTATGAACAAAAGCTGTATGCTCTGGGGGAGGAAATTTGTATGAATTTTCCCCAAAAAACTTACAAGAAAATTTGATTCTAAGAACTATGTATGTGATTCTGAAAGCATATCATGGCGTTAGATTTTCACATGTATAAATGTGTACGAGTGCAAATGTACGTATGAATGAATGTGTATCTATAGATGAATAGACAGACATAGACTCTAGACAGATACAGACACACACATAGAGGCTTTCAAGTGTATATCGTATTAGCAGGCTGACTAGCAAATGTGATTTTTAAATCTCCAGAAGAATCTCCAGAAGAAGATTTTATTTTGTTGCTGTTGTTGATCTGATTTATGTTGGCACAAAAAAACCTCCAAAAACAATTTTGCATTTTTGTATGATAGTAGGCACTTCTATTAGGTTTGGCTAATCTTTTGCTAAGTATCTTCCCTTTGGAGAGAAAACCAGTATTTCTGTGCCTTCTTGTAATATCTTCTTTAAAATTTTACTTGGAGAAAATGAGTCATAAGAAAGTATAGAGGTTCATACAATTAAATTTATGCTTTCCCAATTTGTTTTCCTGATTTTCTGTTACTCACTTTTTTATCAGGAGTTTAATTATACAAAATATCCTTATTTCCTCTCTGAGTTGACAGTAGAACTCTTTCTAAATCATATTGGTGAACAATAGCATTCTAAAACTACCATCTTCTTGTAGGTGATCCTTTACCTTCTATTGTACATCTATATAAGCAAAAAGTTGACACTGACTAATCCGTAGGCTCATACCTGATTGGTGTAACTATAGGTGGGCATTTTCTTATTTAATAATACTAGTTTTATAAGCTAATCAATCCAGTATAGTTAGATAACTTCACATGAATCACAATGAAAGCTTGCCATAGCTATGCCATAAAGAAATAGAATGCTTTAATTTTTCATCAATTTAACCTGCATTGACATTACTGCTGAGCCACTCTGGAAATGATGTACGCAGAGTCAAAATGGAGCTTTTCTCATTTGATAGGCTTTCAAGACTTACTGGTTCTTAGCACACATAGATTAAGGGTAAATAGGTGGTACTACCTGTTTATTTACTAGTCTCAACCTTTTCAGTGAAGCAAACAAAGTGCCAAAATAGTTCTAGGCACAGAATTTTATCAGTATCTTGTATTTGATCAATTCTGCATCTATAAGACAAAAGGTGCTTTTAAAAGGTGAAAATATTTGGCATGTGAATGGAATGTTCAATTAGATCACTTTTATTTGATGTGAGGCATTGGGTGGTCATAATCTAAAACCAGAAAAAAGTGGCTGCAAGTGTGGAATTCACAAGTACTGTTGTCAGCCCCAGGATGTTACCCTCCAGCTCATGCTGTTGATTTGAAGTCTCATTTTATTATCTGTATTTCATCCATTAGCTGTTTTTGTGTGTGTGTTGTAAAATCAAGTAGTACTCTTGACTGAAGCTGTTTCTGAATTAGCAAATGTCAAATAGTTTCAACATCCATGTGTTTAGTCACATTTTATATGCCATGCAGTTGCACACAGAATGCATGTTTGAAGGTGTCTATTTGCACATAGAAGAATGTTTAAAGTACATAGATTTTTAAAAATAAATCTGTGCTCACAGATACCAAATATAAGCAGATGCTACTCCTTAGTCCGAGTGAGGTTGATTTAGTAAATCAAATAGATAAAATATTTAGTGTTTGAATAACTTCCTATAGGTTTTCCCTTTAAGAATACCAAAACACTTCTAGTTTCTATCTTAATGTTTGTCAATAAATCAAGGCAGTAGCAGCTTTTTTATCTAATTAAGATGATTAGAATATAGGCATTTATGCTAAAGCCCAAGGCATTTCTGATAAGGCCATGTTTGAGATATATGGTCAACTGTCTCAACTTTATCTGTATCTAAAAGTATTTGTTAGCAAAAGTTATCATTTAGAAGGCTTACGAGGTAAAACAAACAGCTTCATTATCAGTTTTCTCAACCAGACATAACCATTTTATAGATTTCCAGTATTTACATACCCACACTCATTCATACATATATTATAACCAAAGTAAAAAATACCTTGTAAATACAGATGAATGTTTTTTATATTTTGCATATGAATACTTCCTCATAAACATTTCCTGGAAATGAGATTTTTAATGACTGTAACCTAATTTAGCAGAAGGGAAATCACTCTTTCAGTTACTTTATTATTATAGAAAAGTTATAATTGGTATGTTAATGTCATGGAACATCTGAGTCTTCAACTACATTTCAGATATTCCCCTTTAGGTTAGATTGCTGAAAGTAGAATTATTTTGTAAGGAAAACCTGTTCCTTTACTCCTATGTGCTCCTTGATACAATGATTCATTTCTATCTGTGTAACTTCATGAGTACTTACTTTATTCGATAGTTCACAATCTTTCTTTTTCCTTCTTTCTTCCTTTCTGTCTCTTGCTCCTTTCTCTCTTTCTTTCTTTCTCTCTTTCTTTCCTTTTTTTTTTTTTGTGTGTGTGTGCATTATGGGGCTTGAACTCTGGTCCTGGGCGCTGTCCTTCAGCTCTTCAACTCAAGGCAAGCACTCTACCACTTGAGCCACACCACCACTTTTGGTTTATCTGGTGGTTTATTGGAGATAAGAGTCTCATGGACTTTCCTGCCCGAGCTGGCTTTAAACCACAATTATCAGATCTTAGCCTTCTGAGTGGCTAGGATTACAGGCGTGAGCCACCGGCACCTGGCTCAGAGGATTTGATTCTTGTAATGATTGTTTTTAATTGACAAATTGTAATTTCTGCTTATCTGTGAAGTTTGACATTGTCTAGCTTGCTGTTATATTTTACAATTATTTTTGATAGCCCTGAGTCAGTATCACCTTGCTGTGATAGATTATTTAGATTTTTTTTTTTTTACAATTAACTAATGAATCATCTGAGTAAGTTTTGTCATTTAGAGTCATCTAGTGTTTGTTACTGTGGTAATCTGAGAAACACTATTAGGGATTTTTTTGGGGGGAGGGGTCAGTCATGGGGCTTGAACTCTGGGCCTGGGCGCTGCCCTGCACTCTTCAGCTCAAGACAAGTACTCTACTGCTTGAGCCACAGCACCACTTCTGTTTTTCTAATGGTTTATTGGAGATAAAAGTCCCACGGACTTTCCTGCCTGAGCTGGCTTTGAACCCTGATCCTCAGATCTCAGTCCCCTGAGTAGCTAGGATTATAAGTGTGAGCCACCAGTGCCTGGCTACTACTAGGGATTTTTACAACATAGTTGTTAGTGCTTCTTTTCTTCACATTCTGTCACTTATGATCTTTCAAATTAAAAAACAAATGTTCTCTGCATTACTGGGAGTTGACCTCAGGGCCTCTTTCTTGCTAGGTAGGCACCATACCGCCTAAGTAACACCCCCCCCATCCTTTCTGCTTTTGTTATTTTCAGATAGAAAAATGACATAAGTGGGCATTTTCCAGCCCAGCCTGAGTCATGATCCTCCTCCTATACAGCTGGAATTACAAACACATACCACGATGTTTGTTTTTTGGCTGAGATGAGGTCTCCCTATGTAGCCTCAGACCCTGATATTTCTGCTCTCTGCCTCTGTGTGGTTTAGGTTCACAGGCAGCTTCCAGGCCTGAGTTTGGGATTTGTGGGTTTTTTTTTTTTTGGGTCCGGTCGTGGGGCCTGAACTCTGGGCCTGGACGCTGTCCCTTAGCTCTTCAGCTCAAGGCTAGCTCTACCACTTGAGCCACACCGCCACTTCCGGCTTTTTTTTCTTTTTGCTTATGTGGTACTGAGGAATCGAACCCAGGGTCTCATGCATGCGAGGCAAGCGCTCTACCACTGAGCCACCTTCCCAGCCCTGGGATTT